CATTAATTGATGTAGTCTTTCTAATATTAGTGTGATATTAACTAAAAGTTTCACTGAATATATTAATCTTTGGACATTGTGAGCTTTTGTTTCTGATATATTATGGCCAGGATTACTACTTGACTTTAACTTTTCAAAGTAAGGGGTCATAAACCTAACTTCTTTATCAACATGTTCTGAATTTACACTTGTCCAGAATTCATTTACAGCAGTACATTTAATTTCTTCCTTTTCGTGTTCTCTACATTTGATCTCATAATTTTTTACGACCTTTTTAAAAATATTATTCATTATTTCTTTAACTGTCAATCCTTCATTCAATTCAATTTGAAAGACGTTATAGAAGGTTTGTGAGTCAATAAAATGATAATAATCATTCATAATTTCAACGGTAACTGAATGCATCGACTGATGGTTTTCGAAATATGATTCTTTAAGTGCTGTACTGGCTGATGCTTTTGTTAAATCGTTAAGGTAAGATTGTACATCTGGTACTAATTGAGAAGGACAGAATTTTTCATAAAATTTTTGGAGACGTTCTAAAGTTGAATTGTATTCGTTACATTGATTATAACTTTTTTCTAGAATTTCATCTGTAATTAATTCAATTTCTTCTGAATAATTTTCTATAGCAGAGTTGATATAATCCTTAAGGATCCCGGTATTACTAAAGTAATTAAATACTTTTTGAAGCAGTTTTATCGTAATAGTGTTATTTCTTATATCCATAGCTATAAGAGTGACTGTTTTACATGCTTCTTTAAAATATGAATGAGAACGCAACTTTTGAATATCACCTCTTGCTTTAAATATGGCCATCCAAAATTTTGCAAATTGGAATAATGAAAGTTGAAATAATTCTGTTTCGGAAAATTTAACGACTTTATCTTGTTGCAAGTGACTGAGTATAAAACATATAATTTCTTCACAATAACTAAATTTTGGGAAATTTCGCATTAGTTTAAGGTATAACGATTGATTATGAAACTATTTTTAAAATTATTTCATACCTATTTGGAACATTTAAAGTCGATTCGCTATCACAAATTTGCATGATAATTTTTAATAGGCGCTCATCAGGATCCCGAATGAGAAGTTCAACTCGGAATTTTAATAAAGACATAAAATGAGTTATTATATCATCATGAAAGTTGCTAACATTAATACGTGATGTAATCGAGAGTACAGAGTCATCAGATAATGACATCACAATATTATGATTCATAAATTTGTTTAAAAGTTCTTGACTATGTGCTGAAGTTGAATGTATTATCGTGAGACAATGGAAGATGTTATGAGCTGAACTTCCTTTTTGTTTACAGATATTTATTAACCATTTGATTGATTCTTGCTCGAGCTCCTTTTTAATCGTGTTCGGATTCAATTCCATTATACATATAAAAATTTCAGGAAAATATTCCAGCACAATTATTTGATCAGACTCTGCAATTGCTTCAAGCACGCTGGCATATTCTCTAGGGTGCCATTTCAAATTAGGATCACTAAGAAGCTTTTTGAGTGAGACAATATTCTTATCATTCCAATCTAACTTCTTTTTCTCAAGCAATTCCAAGAGCTTCCTACGAATTGCATATAAAAAATTGACGCTACCCTTCAATTCTTTAAAACATTCTATCATATATGCAAGACATTCCGCATCATATGATATTCTAACAAGTTTATTCATCATTTTGTTTAACGCACCAGCGTTGTTAAGATCATTAATGCTAGATTTTAATACTTCTAATAATTTTATGAAATCGTCAGGTTCGTCAGGTTGCATTTTATAATCATATGCTTCAATCGAATCAATAAATGAGTATGATGCATCAAACTTAAGTGCAAGTGCAAATATTTTGATCCAATCTAGAGAACCGTGTTTAGAGTTATGTTGAATCAATGCGTTAATGGTATTCACGACCAAGAATTTTGTATTGGAAGGTAGACTAAAATCATCATCGATATTTTTAAATTCCTTTATCATAATGGAAGATTGGAAACCATCTGGAAGATCAGATCCGTGCAACCAGCCATTTTGTTCTATGTGATAGCCGAGAAGAACGTATAAAAATAATATCTGTTCTTTGGTTTTGTTTGTTTTTAAGTTCTGGCTAATGAAATTGACTATCTTTTCAAATTCTGTAAGACCCCTCCAATGCTTGTTTAAAACATATAGATAATCCATGATCCCATTCTTTAAGCTACAGGGAGATTTTATATTTTTGTAAATATAATCGGTAAATACAAAATCTTCTCCATTTGAAAATTGATCTTTTTTAAATTCGGTGCTATCACTCCAAATGTCGTAAAGATTTCCGCGAGGTTCCATTCTTCTACAAGCTGCGAACACGTAACCCTCAAAATTTAACACATTCTCTGATGAAACCAAACAATATTTGTATTGAACCTCTAAGTTTGTTGGGATGCGCACTCGATCAGATACCCAAAGGGTAGAATTTGGAATTTGGCAAAGCCATACTTTAGGGGTTCGCCAATTGCCTAAAGTTTCGCAACTACCCAAAACCGTGAGTTTGTACGAATCCGTATTGAATGGTAAATGAACATGAAAAACTGAGCTGGTTTCTGAATTTTCATTAATACTCATACTCAAAAACTATTTTTTTAAGATACGTTTTTTGAAGTAGAAAGGGCAAACGTATAAAGATTTAACTTTATCCTTAGATATGTTTATATTGATTAAACCGAAACAAAATTTGATGGCGTACAGTACATTTGACATAATACTCATCACAGTCGAATATTCTTTTGTGCAAGTAATTCAAACCTTAAAAGAGTTAATAGTTAATTAGAGAATGTCACTTGTCACTTCGGATAAGTCTGACACGTGCGCAAAGAAAACGAAAACAAGTGCAAATATATGAAGATGGTGTCTAAATCTGCAATTAAAAATGGTGGGATGAAATTTACATATAATAACTCATTATTTTCATTATTACCACGAACCCTGACCAACCCTAATCAACTCTATACAATAACTAAAAATCATTAAATTCCCTTTTTGGTTTGCATCACTTGCAGAAAAAGTATTCGGAGTATAGGATTGGAATAGCGATAGTGTCAGAGAGTCTGCACGTCAGAATCTGCACATAATCGCAGAATAACATGGGACAGCATTTATATGGTTGGTTATCATTTTCTATTTTATAATATTCTTAAAATACTTAAAAATTAAACTACATATACGTATACCATAAAATAAAGTGATATAGAACATTATGATGATAACCAATACTTTCCAAAACAATCATCTTATTGATCATCATCATTTCTTATAGACCAATTCCATCCACTTTTCTTGCTGCGCTGATCTTGAAAATCTTTTTAATGACATCACTATATTATCTTCGTGTAGAGCTGTTACTGGGTTAAAAATTTTTGACCCGGGTTATGACCCGAGTCAATAGTACATAGATAAAGCTTACATTTTAAGTTGTATTTTATCGGTATACCAGGTGTTTCAAAAGTCACTATTTTTATTTATAGAGATTACAATGATCTTTATATATAGATAACTTTAAAAATATGGACCGTGTATAGGAACTTTTGAAAACTCGGTATGTGCTTGAGGTTGCTTTGAGATATAAAAATTTAAATTAGAATATCTTGGATTTTTATCAAATTTCTCAACCTTGCTCGTAATTTGAGTTATTTCATTTTCTTGACCAGATCAAGGCAATTTTTGACCCGTGACCTGTAATACGTTGACCCGTATGGGCCAACCTGACCCGGATAACAGCTTTATCATCGTATAATTATTAGAGCTAAATTGGTGTATTTTATCTTATCTTCTCAATCTAGAGTGCAAACTGAAACGCAAAAAAGAAACTGCAACAATATTACTTGATGATCAATTATTGTTTTAATTTCCTTTTTGAATTTCAGTTCGCACCTCTATCTCAACCAATAATTATACTATATAAACAAATGGGAGGTGTGTCTATTTTCAGCCCTTAGATTGGCTACTTACTAGTATAATGACATTATGTGTATTAAAATAAAGCCAAAGACAGAATGCTACACAATCCTTTTTAAATATGCACTCGGTCTTAAATTAGGACCGGAGTCAATAGAATTTTGTAAAAACCAAACTCAAAATTTAGAACCAATGACGTTGCAGTATTTCGTGTAACAAACACAAATCTAAACTTTAATGCCGCTGTATCAACTTTTTTTTGGCTATCATTATGAGATTTGTTTAGGTTTATTTTATTAAATAACGATGTTTTTAGCAAATAAATTTTTTAAATAAAAGTAGCAGTGATCTAAATTAGTTGATGGCTTTAGCTTGTACGCACTGTATAAAGCCTTTTTTAGATCAAAACTTCCCTTAAACATGTTTGTCTTTTTATTTAACTATTTCTGCTTATATGTACATACATCTCTCTATAGCCATCATAGTAATCAATAGCCTTATTATTACCGGCCTATAAAATCAATCAATTATTTTATAGCATTGTTGGCAATTGGACAGTTTTGTTTTTGGACACTGTGTCCAAAACTTTGTCCAAAACCAAAACTAAATTTAATTGGACAGTCCAATTTCCATCATTGTTTTATAGTATTTTTTTATGTGATAAATATTGATCTTATTCCATAAGCTGAAATAGTAAACTCATTGAATAAAACTATTATTGCATACTACATAATTACATAATCAATAACAGTTGTATTTTATGTCCTCTTTTGATCATTCGGTAACCCAGTTATACTGGCTGGATTACCAACTAATCATTATCTGTAGCGGAAGTTTGTTTTGATTGGCTGATATTAGGATAAATATGATTAGCAACGATCTTTTTATATTGTCAACGGTAACTTTTAAAGTACTTTTAATAGTAAAAATCGTTGTGGCATAACTTTTTTTTTTGGTAATACAAAACGTAACAACCAACTTGAGTAAGCAATTGTTGAAAGATTCTGTTTCAACTAGTTTTTATTTTTTTTTTTTACAAGTATTATTTTGAACTATTATTCTGATGTTTATTGTATAATACAATAAGTGATAATAATGGTAGTGTTTAGAAACAGTCGTGTATATGTTATTTTAGTAGACATTTATATGTATTTATTGCTAAAAAAATAATAATAACCTTGTAAAATCTAAATTAAAATTGTCTTTAGCGTATTGTCTGATTTTTTAAAAGTTCAAGAGTAAATAAAATTTTTGTCTGGGTTAGCCAGTACTCTATCTAGAGTGTGATTGACATTTTTTCTGGGATATCTTAACAACCAATCAAAATGAACTTCTACTACTCTGTTATTTCATACTTCGCATACAATAATCTAAGTTTTTCAGTTTTGAGATTATTTTTACACTAAATGTTAAGTTCTTACAAAATGACAACAATAATCAAATTTTATTTGAAGTGAAATGAACTGATTGAAACTTTACATTCTCAGAAGGGACACGAAAAATTTATCAGAAATCACTAAATTTAAATTATGTTAATGCGTTTATGAAAATAATAATCCAAATTAGGCTGTTGGCTAAAGTGGTGTTAACCAAAATTACTTTTTTGATGCAGTCATGGTTACTCTTTTAAATACAGAAATACAGAATACAATTTATGTAATATGTAAATCAATGCTTTAGCGATTCCAAATTATCAAACATCATTGTCGCCGGTCATTATTAGAATTACTGTGATAATGTAGACTTTTAGCAATATTTTATGTCCGATTGTGCACCACTGCTACTTGCAGTTAATGTCTAGTGCATGAATTTGGATAGCCGCTTTATCGCATATCTTCTCATTGTTACTGACTCTGTCAACCTCATAGGAAGATATTCGTCTGATTGGCTGATTTGATTCAATTGCCCGGTAACTAATTTATACAATTTAAAGTACTTTTTCAAACTGCAATGTTTCACTATTTTACTTATGAAAGTATTTTTTTCATTAGGCTTGGAAGAACATTTCTTTCACTATACAAAATAAATTTTCAAACCAAAGACTTAGAAACGAAGTTGACTACATGTATATAATTTTTTGTCAACAAGCAATCAGTAAAAGAATGTTCTTGCCAAACTAACAAAATTTTATCAAAGTTATTATTAGCTTTAAGCAAGCCTTCTAATGTACTTTGTTTTAATAAAAAATATATTACAGCTTATTGGGTTGTGTAAAATTGTATTGCAAAAATAACTAAAATAGCTTTGCTTAAAATTACTTTGTTATGTTAGATTAAATTTTTATTACTGTTTAATTTCTATAGATACAAGTCTTAAAAGTAGAAGTTCAGTTGGTTCTTGTAATAGGATTTTCTTTAGTATAGGTGGCCAATATAGAAATATTATAAGACCATAATATAAAAAATCTTTAACTCTAATCTTAACCTAACTATAAATTATACTATAACTCTCACCCTAACCCTAACTATTTTCAAATTTGCTTAAATTAGTTCAAATAGTTATTTTTATATATTATAATTTTATATTATTTTGAGACTGAGATCGGAGAACCGAACGACC